AATCCGCACTACTGTCTTCCATCAGGGTTACAGAAACCTGATGTCGTCGCAGTAAAGGATGAGAGCGTTAAAGTCGTCGATGCACAGGTGGTTAGTGGAGCAGCACCACTTGACGACGCACATAAGACCAAGTGCAGAAAGTATGATACTCTTCCGCTTAAACATCACATAGCAAATGAGTTGGGGGTTGTGATTGAGAATATCTCAGTCACATCCATTACCCTCTCAAGGAAGGGTATCTGGTCGTTGAGGTCTGCTAATGACCTGACCTCCTTAGGGCTCCAAAAACTCTTGCCAGGCATAACAACAAGAGCTTTGCAGGGTTCGCACACGAATTGGACACGGTGGAACAGGATGACTGGTGTTTATTCCGGTAATCCTGTCCCACGAGAAGGGATAGGATAGGGTGGTTACGGTCGATACGCTTAAGCGTTTGGGTAACCCAGGCCCCACCATCGTAAGTCGGCACTGGGAAATAAAGCCGCGGCCTGCACAATCAACATCTTCAGTGCAGGTGACAGATGGAGTTTTAGTGGGTCTTCCTCTATGAGGTGAGTCCCACATACCAGCACCAACATCTGCTGAGATGCGTAAACGCATTTCTCCATCTATAAAAAAAAAAAAAAAAAAAAATATCCAAATGCCTCGTCATCTAATTAGTGACGCGCATGAATTGATTAACGAGATTCCCACTGTCTCTATCTACCGAATTTTTCACTCTTGGGGGTCCCCCGGGTTTTCCCCTGGGGTTTCCCCAGTCCTTCCCTGGGGTTTTCCCCAGGCTTTCCCCGGGGTTTCCCCCGGTCGTCTCTGGGTTTTCCCCGGGCCTTTCCTGGCTTTTCCCAGTAGTGGTAAGCTGCAGTTTTGCTGCGGCTCTCTAGTGGCTGCTTGCTGTTTTGAGGCTACCTGTGCGTCATCATGGGAGGCAAAAAAGGTAAGAGTAAGATTAAGAAGAGTGAGTTTCTTGAGGGAATAAGTTCGGATAGCGACTCGTCGGTCGATATGGTAGTTAGAAAGAAAACTGAGCGTGCGAGATCCCGCTCTAGGTCGAACTCTATCCGCAGTACGCGTTCGCGATCGCGATCAGTTTCTACAAAGGCTAACCGATTTGAACAGCTAGCTAGTATGGATGTAGATAGTGCGAATGATAGAAGAACGATAGCAGGGGTTAAGCGCAAGAAGGTCGATAGCGAAAAGAATAGCCTAGGTAGTAAAAAAGTGCGTAGCGAGGATAAACATGCTGAGTTGCGAACAGTAGGGAATGAACTTAGGAGTTTTCTGCTGAATGAGGCTAATAAGATTAGCAAGTCTGCGACTGAGAAAGTACTGAATTCTCTCGCATTCTACGAGGAGCTCGTTGATAAGCTGATGTGTGAGAATGCATCACTGGAAGGTAGACTTCAGGAGTGTATCGAGTCGCGAAGTATTAATCAAACGTTACTACCGTCAGTAAGTGGTGCATCGACGATGCTAGGGATAGCGGCTCGGCAGTCGGTAATGCAATCGACGGGTGGGCCGAAAGGGGCCAATGTCGCTCAGCAACCGATAGGTCAGCTCCCTCCCTTACCGGTTGTCCGTCCGAATTACGCGCTAGTTGTGAAAAGTAGCTCGGGCGCTAAAGACAAGAATGTGTTAGCTAATGTTAAGAAGGCGATGAATGAGTTTCCTAGTATGAAGGTGCAGCAACTTACGGAGGTTAAAAGTGGTGGTGTCTCAATTAAAACGGCGAGCGAAGAAGAAAAGAAGAAGTTAATGAAGTGCGGAGGTTTTGCGAATGCGGGATTGGTCGTAGAAGAACCTAAGAAGCGAGATTAACCTAAGAAACTTGGTCATCCTATTGTTTGCCATATTGGAAGTTTCTTATGTAATTCGACATTTCTTAAACTTCGTACTATAGCTTGTCACTTTCCTTTTTTAAGAACAATAAAAGATATAATTTATGCGTTAAAAAAATGTTGTAGAAATATCGAAGAGGTGAATGAAGCTTTAAATAATGGTGATTTGGAGAAATTAGAAGATATGGCATCGAAAGCTTCAATTTTCATCTACAAAAACCGATGAAGTTACTTTGGATGAGAATGAAATTTTACAGAAATTGGACGGAGGTGTCAAAGTTTATTACAAATTTTTAAAAGACCTTCCTCTACATGTTTGTGTTTCTTGCGAACGATTATGTCGTGATAAAAGTATAAAAGATGTTAAAGATTATGAACCAAATGTTGCATGCGAATTATTAGGAATTATTAATAATGCTTGGCAGCAATTAGTAGAATATTATGTAAATAATAATTCGATGGAAATATTCCTCAATGGTAAGATTTGCAAATCTTGTTTGGAGCAGCTTAAAAAGAATAAGATACCTCCAACGTGTCTTTTAAACAATCTTTATTTCAAAGCTATTCCAGATGAATTGAAATTTTTGAATATGTATGAAAAGATTTTAATCCAGCGTGCAAAATCATTTCAAGTTATCAAGAAAAAAGGTACTATTATGAAGAAAAATATACCTTATTACGCACGTCATGACAAGCTCGTGGGGAAAGTTTTTCATTTACCTCTACCATTACATGAAACATTACAAAAATTGTGTAAAGAAACGGATCCTCTGAACACGGATCATGAGTTATACATATTGGTTAGAAGTATTCCTACTAAAGGTAAGATTATTTGGGAGGAATACGTTGATGTAAAAAAAATATGGAATGCTTTGAAATGGCTGCAAGAAAACAATCATCTTTATTCAAAAATTAATCTTCCCATTAATCCAGAAGATTTACTGAATGAACTAAAAGATGTAGATTTAGAGTATGCAGAAGAAGATTCTGTTAATAATGAAGACAAAGTCGATGAAAATTATAACAAAGCTACAAATTCTAAATTGCCTCAGGCAGAAGCTTTATTGACTGCAAAATCGCAATCGGACACATTTTACGATGAATATACAATAAATGCTTTACATACTAAAAAACCTAATGAATCGGATACAAAATTATACCAAATGAAAAAAGTATATGAAAATCCGTTGGCTTACAATGACAGTGACTTGGATTTGAAATGTTTTCCAGACATTTTTCCTTACGGTGAATGTGGCCAACGCGTTTCGAGAAATATACGATTAAGAGATTCTGATTTTATTAAACACATATTGACCTCTAAACATTCACAATTTAGAGAAAGCAAACAATTACTTTTTTACTATTTACATGATAACAATATGAGAAATCTGAATGCAGGAATATATCACATGTTACATGTTGTAGATACACGTTATAAATATACAGCTGGAAATTTCAAGAAACAATTGGAGGAGAATCTTTTAGAATCAAATCTTTAATCTATTTTTGCTCGCTTAAAAGGAACTGAAGCGTACTGGATAAAACCTAGAAGAGAACTCAATTGTATGACCCAGGAATATGGCCCAGTTACATTTTTCGTAACCTTAAGTCCCGCAGAATGGAACTAGCCGGATTTGGGTGAATTTATACAAGATTATCAATCATTGGATAATGATAGTAGATCTATTAGTCAACTCGTCGTTGACTATCCTGTTCCAGCTGCAATTTTCATAGAACAAAAGTTCAAAGCCATGATGGCTTATTTGCTTTCCGACGCAAGACCTATAGGAATAATTGAACACTATTATAATGTTCGAGAGTATCAAGGTCGAGGGTTACCTCATTTTCATTGTATTTTCTGGATAAAAGATACTCCAGTATATGGCATATCTTCGAATGAAGATGTAAAAAAATTTATAATGCAATACATTAATTGTCGTTTACCTAATAAATATACATCTCCAAATATGTATCGTAGAGTAATGGAATATCAACAACACAAACATAATGACTATTGTATGCGTAAAAATAAAACACGAAGTGGTTTTATATCCGCCTGTCATTTCGAATTTCCGCGAAAGACAACAAAAGAATTTATTTAAACGTGATGTTATTATGGCTATAACAAATCGTAGAAAGTTGAAAAACAATAGTAGACTTTATGATCTGCCTCGAGATTTTAATGAACAATATACGAACGACTATATGCCTGCTATATTAGCTTTATGGGAAGGAAACACCGATGCTCAATTTATTGGTGAATCGACGTATCTTTTGACGTATTACATTACATGTTATGGAACAAAAGGTGAAAAAAGTAATTTGGATCTTTCTGATATAGCATTGAATAGGTCTCTTTGCAGTAGACTTTGGGCCATAGGTACGCGCGGACTTACTCACAGAGAATGTGGAGCTATAGAAGCGGCTGATACTTTATTAGGTCACCCACTTCATGAAACAGATCCAAATACTACTTTTATATAGGTTGACGTTGGTTTTGAAAAAAAAAGAAAATTAAAATCAAAAGTTGCAATGGAACAATTATCTGAAGATTCAACGGATATCTTTTGTGATAATTTAGTAGATACATACTATCCAAAGCGCCCTATAGAGTTAGAAACCATGTGTTTATATGATTTTGCGAGATTATTCGATATATGGAAAAAAAAGCCAATTCGCAAAGCTGAGTATTATAAAATGGATGAAAATTTATATTGCAGAAAAAGAAAACAAGCACGTTTAGTTCTTCATATAAAGTACAATCCTCAAACACAACCTGAAGCCTATTATTTTTCTATATTGATATTATTTAAACCTTGGAGAAATACCGAGGAACTTAAGGGAAACCAAGAAACATATCATAATGCTTTTATTGAAATAAAAGATGATTTATCTGCAGCACTTAAATATCATGATAAGCTGCAGATGATTCAAAATGCTATGGATGAGGCTAATAAATTAATGAAGCAACAAGAATTGGAAAAGACCTTGACCCAAAAATCAGAACATCTGGAAATTGCCGATCCTCTTGACGCTACAGAAGTTATAAAAGATGTTTAAGATTTGATTGAAAAGGTTGCCGAAACAAAAGATATTGACGTAGATCAATCAATCAAAAATTTAGATGTTGATCAATTAAGAATATTTAATACAATTACATCTACAATGTCATCTGACAATAAAGTAATAAGACTGTTTATTAGCGGATTTGGAGGTACTGGTAAAAGTTACCTGATTGAAAACTTGGTATTATGGAACAAACTAAAGAGAAATAAAAATACCGCTGTTGCAGCTCCGACTGGTATTGCAGCATTTAATATTCAGGGATTGACAGTTCACAGATTATTACAATTACCTGTAGAGCAAGGAGGCACGGCAAAATATAAACCTCTATCGGATAATGCGTTAAAAAGAATACGTCAAAGTTTAAAGAATGTTGATTTCATCATTATTGATGAGATTTCTATGATATCAAACGTAACTCTTACGTATATACATTTACGACTGACAGAGATTTTTTGCACATCAAACAAAAAAGACGGTTGGTTTGGTAAAATACATACATGTAGTTTTTGGCGATTTACTTCAACTACCACCTATGCGAGAAGAATTCGCTTTCATTTCACTGACAAGATCGCAAATTGATAAATACATTAAAGGAATGTTATCATTTAATTTATGGACTTTGTTCGAATATGAGGAATTGACTATAAATATGAGACAGAAAAATGATAAAGGTTACTCAGAAATTTTAGGAAAATTAAGATTAGGTTATTTAACTAATTCTGATATAGAAACTTTACTGAAAAGAAAGATTTCTTTTTCCAGCAATATTCCTTCAAAATCTCTTCATGAACTGTGCCAATATTTGAGTAATTTGCCTACCAATACAGTATGCTTGATGCCGACTAAAGATATGTGCTCAATACTTAATAATACCATGTTGAATAAACTAGAGTGTGAAGAGATAAAGCTAATTGCTAATGATTGTTACAAATGTCCAAAGAGACTAGAAAAACGTGTTTTGCAAATTTTAAACGAAGATGATGACAATGCTTGTGGCATTTCTCGAGTAATGACAATCAAAATAGGTTGTAAAATTATGATACGAAGAAATATCGATGTGTCCATCGGATTAGTTAATGGAACTATAGCAACAGTTATTGCAGTGACCAAAGGAAAAACAGGTATAGATAGCGTGACTATTAGACTTCAATCAAATCAAGAGTATTCTATCAAACAATTAGAATACCAATTTCAAATATTAGATCAAGTATTCATTACGAGAGAAAAATTTCCAATTTGTCTAAGTTATGCTATAACTATTCATAAAAGTCAAGGTTTAAGTTTAGAAAATGCTGTTATAGACGCTGGAATGAGCATTTTTAGTTGTGGTCAAACGTACGTAACTTTATCTAGGGTCACTAAACTAGAAGGTTTACATTTAATTAATTTGGATCCTTCTAGTATTAAAGCTGATGAGTCTGCTATAAAAGAATACAATAGACTGAGAAATCAATATCGTACAGATCTTGATATTTATAATATTCCTGTTAAAGATGTTTACAAAAGTAATAAAATATTTGACAGTGTTTGGTCTATATCACGTCATACATTGCAGATTCAAGCTGATAATGTTAATAATATTTTACAATGTCCGTTGAGTTCATTCATCTATCCATTGCCTGATAAAAATAGCTTATCTTACGCTAAATCATGTATACAGAGTTTATTTCATTGCCAATTGATTAGGAAACATTTACTTGAATCCAAGGATCAAGATATACTTTTACAAATATTTAAACAATATGTTACCAAAACTTTGGTTGATTTAGTCCCGCTTTCAAATTTTCTTAATACTACCAAGTATTCATTCCTAATTCAAAAGGATGCTGCAGATTATTTATCGGATATATGTATGAAATTTGGAATAATAGGTAAACTTACTACACATGAGCTTACCATTGGGATAAGATGCCCAGGTTGTGATTTTAGATCCGATCCAATTACAACATGTAATTGCATTTTAAATTTATACTTAAATACAGAAAAAAATGGGGCATATACGTTGCAGAATATTATAGGTGAAAATATTAATGTTTGGTGCGATATTCAAGAAACATGTCATAATAACTGTAAATATAAAAAACAAAAAAAAGTTTCTCTCCGTATTGATTTGGAAAAAATTTTAATAATTAGGCTGTCACTGTTTTCAGACAATAATAAATTAATTGGATTCAAGATTAATGATGTGCCAAAGACGAAAATTTCTATAGATGATAAATGTTTTAGGGTAATAAGTACAATTTTTCATTGTGGACCAAGTATGGACAATGGGCATTATTTTAATGTATTACGCGAAGAAACTTATTGGTTTCATACATCTGATTCTAAATGCACAAAAAAATCATGGCCTCAAGGCTCGAAAGATATATATATAATATTTTCAGAACAAATTAAAGCACCAAAAAGAAAGTGATCTCGTAAAAAAAATATGAGATGTTTCGCATCAACTCTCCGAACGTGGCGCACGGGTGCTAAAAGATGACTAAGTTCAACTCTTATTTGCACTACTTGAATGTATTTTAGAATGACTAATATTCTAGTCAAGTCTAGTAGAATTTATTATTGTAGTATTCAGTCGTAACCATAGCTTCCATTGAAATAAGTGAAATCTCCATAAAAACACTTTTTACAATAGTAAAAGGTTGCATGAATGCTTTTTTAACTTCCTTGCCATTTTTATCGCTAAAACCTTGCTACTTCGTCCACAGTTATTTTAATTTATAAAAATGATACAAGCGCTATATATTACTTGCTCATACACGTACAGAGAGATTTTTGTATCCTATACTAAATATTATCCATTTTTCACATATTACTCTGTTTAGATCTTAACGCAATAATAGAATTTTCTTATTCGTCTTTAAACTTTTGAAAGTACTGAAATCAATATAAATAAAGCACGGATGCCATTTATAAGTGTAACATCTTAAGGACCAAAAGAATAGATAAAATACTAAAAACTCGATGATTTTATATGTCTAGTTCTCTATGTCTAAACATCATTGTTAACAATGACTGAAACATGTTCAGTATCTTTAAATAATGAATCATTTTTATGTATTTAAATTGATATTAGACACACTACGTCTCGATCAACCTTATTTTTTTATTGGGATCGTTTTTAAATTTTTGAAAGAAATGAAATCTATTTGAAAATGGCACGGATGCTATTGATTCGTTTCAGCTGCTACATAACAAATAGTCACGCATTATTTATACGTTGAAATTTTCAATAACTTATATAAATTTTTGGCAACTTTTATTCTTGCCGGGCGAGTCCACCAATAATATCAGGTACAAGCATGGACAATAAAATATTATAAAATGAATTACTCTTAGCCGTGTACTGAAAATGAAAAATATCTAACGTTAAAAAATTATTACCAAGAACTTTACGTTTCTACCTGGTATAAAAAAATTATTTTTCACTATGTATCAAAAAAAATATTTCGATATAAATTTAAAAATTGTAAAAGTGACTTTAGTATTTGCTGAACCACGCAATAATTAATATAATAGTATTGTATACTTTTCAGTTGAGTAGTAAAAATTATCTGAGTATTTCATTAAACACTTACAAATACAAATTAATTATAGGTTTACCAAAGACAATATTGATAAAAATATTAAATAATGATAGTAAGGGTGCGTATAATGAAAAGTTAGCTGTAAATTAATCATTTCTTTTAAACTCAGGCGACAGGCCTGGCAAGAATAAAAGTTGCCAAAAATTTATATAAGTTATTGAAAATTTCAACGTATAAATAATGCGTGACTATTTGTTATGTAGCAGCTGAAACGAATCAATGGCATCCGTGCCATTTTCAAATAGATTTCATTTCTTTCAAAAATTTAAAAACGATCCCAATAAAAAAATAAGGTTGATCGAGACGTAGTGTATCTAATAACAATTTAAATACATAAAAATGATTCATTATAATCTATTTTATTTTCCTTCGAAATATTACTAATCTCATATATAAACAATGGTTAAGGAAAATCCCTCATGTAATTAAAACAACACTCTTGATACCGAACATGTTTCAGTCATTGTTAACAATGATGTTTAGACATAGAAACCTAGACATATAAAATCAACGAGTTTTTAGTATTTTATCGATTCTTTTGGTCCTTAAGATGTTACACTTATAAATGGCATCCGTGCTTTATTTATATTGATTTCAGTACTTTCAAAAGTTTAAAGACGAATAAGAAAATTCTATTATTGAGTTAAGATCTAAACAGAGTAATATGTGAAAAATGGATAATTATTAGTATAGGATACAAAAATCTGTCTGTACGTGTATGAACAAGTAATATATAGCGCTCGTATCATTTTTTTAAATTAAAATATCTGTGGACGAAGTAGCAAGGTTTTAGCGATAAAAATGGCAAGGAAGTTAAAAAAGCATTCATGCAACCTTTTACTTTTGTAAAAGGTGTTTTTATGGAGATAGAATTTACAAAAAGGTAGGTTATCTGGATTATAATTATGTCGCATCGGAATATTTGAAATTTTTAAAATATCTGTTGGGTTACTTGTGCTATCGGGATACGTGAGTGATGGGGATATATGAATATTTCCTTTATGAAGAAACCGTAGAAACGAACAATACTAGTTCTACAAATTATCGAAGTTTCAAAAAAATAAGTTTGGTTGGCACACTTGTATCAAAAACGGATACATCCTAAAATTCTAGTAGTTCTATAGCATAAATGGAATATTAGAGATATGATATAAATTTAGAATTTTAACAAGCAAAGTTAGGTTGTGTAGGGTTGGGTTATATGAAAATTTCTTAAATCAAGAAATGCAAATCTGAATATATGGAAGTTTTAGAAGTGGCATTGGGTTAAATGAAAATTGTCTATATCAAGAAATAATTGCAATGAAAAATTCTAGTTTTCTATAGCATTAATGCAATCTTTCAGATGTCCGATATTATAGAATTTACAAAAAGGTAGGTTATCTGGATTATAATTATGTCGAACCGGAATATATGGAATTTTTAAAATTTCTGTTGGGTTACTTGTGCTATCGGGATACGTGAGTGATGGGGATATATGAATATTTCCTTTATGAAGAAACCGTAGAAACGAACAATACTAGTTCTACAAATTATCGAAGTTTCAAAAAAATAAGTTTGGTTGGCACACTTGTATCAAAAACGGATACATCCTAAAATTCTAGTAGTTCTATAGCATAAATGGAATATTAGAGATATGATAAAAATTTAGAATTTTAACAAGCAAAGTTAGGTTGTGTAGGGTTGGGTTATATGCAAATTTCTTAAATCAAGAAATGGAAATCTGAATATATGGAAGTTTTAGAAGTGGCATTGGGTTAAATGAAAATTTTCTATATCAAGAAATAATTGCAATGAAAAATTCTAGTTTTCTATAGCATCAATACAATATTTGAGAAGTCCGAAATTAAAGAATTTGCAAAAAGGTAGTTTATCTGGATTATTATTATGACGAATCGGCATATGTGGAATTTTTAAAATTTCTGTTGGGTTACCTGTGCTATCGGGATACGTGAGTGATGGGGATATATGAATATTTCCTTTATGAAGAAACCGTAGCAACGAACAATTCTAGTTGTTCTACAAATTATCAAAGTTTCAAAAAATAAGTTTAGTTGGCACACTTGTATCAAAAACGGATACATCCTAAAATTCTAGTAGTCTATAGAATAAATGGAATATTAGAGATATGATAAAAATTTAGAATTTTAACAAGCAAAGTTAGGTTGTGTAGGGTTGGGTTATATGCAAATTTCCTAAGTCAAGAAATGCAAATCTGAATATATGGATGTTTTAGAAGTGGCATTGGGTTAAATGAAAATTTTCTATATCAAGAAATAATTGCAATGAAAAAATCTAGTTTTCTATAGCATTAATGCAATATTTCAGATTTCCGATATTATCAAGGGTCGCGACAGCGACCTGCGGCATGAATGCCGGAGGCGCAGTACAACGGGACTCTATATACACAACAGCTTTCTATATGAGCAGACACGATTTTAATTTTTTTTATATATTAACGTTCAAATTTCCCAAAATGTTATTTCATTTGAAAGTTCTTTACATATTACATTATTAATATTAATTACAAATTATATAATTAACGTTTCCGCTGTTTTTTCTATTGTATTATACCGATGATGGTCAAATTTTATTTTCTCCTTCAGTGTTATTTTTCTTCAACATGCGTTGTAAATGCGCATGCGCGACTAAAAAACAAAGCAAGCTGGACAGTCCGGCAGTTCATCATGTCATGATTATATAGATATCGTAACACTGCATATAGTAGGTAGCACATATTGGTATAGAATTCCACGTGGCTTTCGTATCAGATTATCGCATCAGATCATCAAAGAAATCATTTTATTTTTGTACCTGAATCATTTTGTACCTGAATACGCAAGTGTAAGTACATTTAGCTTGACCATATATATATAGGGAATATATAATGAACATATATATAGGGAATTTGTTGGCTACATTGTACAAGTTCTTGGACGTAGTACAGCTGTTCTTAATGGCAAAGAAAATGAACTGTTT